GATCAGACGTTTCAGGAGCGTATTCGAGCCCTGGCATTACGCCATTCATGTGCAATAAGTGCCGTTCAATCATTGGAAAAGAGAATTCGCCGTCCGGACATTTGATCTGATTTACCCTCGGCGGAGCAATGGGTTGATCATAGTCCTTCTCCATCCAATCTTGCAAAGGAATAACAAGCACTTCGTGACGCCAAAGAAAGTCAGGATAAATAGGGTACCCCAGATATATTCCAGCCCTGGAGGTAGGCTCAAACTTCAATAGGAGCCGATGGCAAGGTAGTGACCTTTGGAATGTTCTTCGACAAGGCTGGAACAGCATTCTGGGTCTCAGAAGGAATGAATGGTACGTTGTCCTTGGCCCATCCGGCAATCTGAAATAAGGTCTGCTGTGTGCTCTCCAAACGAATTCATATCCGTCTTTGAGGCATCTCATACCCACGGATAACACGGCTGGAGCCTCATCAAGAACATATGGCCGAACAATGCTATCGGTCTGCTTGATCTTGACGTTGGCGTGCTCAGTACCGATATTGGAAATGCGCATCCGTCCTCGACAGCAAATCCTGAGCAGCACCAGTGTCCGCGATCCATGGAATGTGGGAAGAATCCATTGGTAGATACGGAACAGCAGCATTTCCCTTTTGGGGGGAAACTTCAGGCTTCTCTGGCTCGGCCAGTAGGCATGCGGGGATGCAGGAATCACAGCCGAAATCAGAGTCGCATTGAAACTTACATGAAGTCTTTGTGCCCTTGAGCATGTCCTTCACCATTGCTTCATGCATAGCACCAACAAGAGTTGCATCTGAAACAGCTCTCTCGTCAAATTTTGGAACATAGTCGACCGGAAACTCTTGTGCAAACCTTCTCGACGAGGCAGTGTAGGGCCAAAGCTCGCCGTCAGTCTCATAGTTTGAAATGGAGGGGTAATCCGTGAATTGCACACACTTCTTGACACATGGCATACCCTGAAAAACATCATAATTCACACTAGGCAGGCGGCGACCGGGTCGAAGGTCGCGGCGCACACCATCGCCTGAAAGAGGCACACCGCCGCATTGCTGCCCTTTGACGATCGCGGAGATTTGAGGGACTGGGAACCCTTCGAATCTCTCGACTCCTGAGAAGAAGGCCTGCTATTCTTCTTTTTCTTTTCTCTCGGCGATGTCTTGAGGGTGTCTTTACTAGTGGTTTTGTCGGCCTTTGGGGCTGGAGCTGCCTTGGAAGTTGCGAGGCACTGCCATGGGCAGTCCTTTCCTCTCTCGCATCTGTTCGCTTTGAAGCACTTGCATACCTGGGGCTTCGATCCAGGGGGACTCTGCGAACGATACTTCCTTGGGGTCTGAGACCTTGATCCGCCCTTCTTGCCTTTCCCCTTACCTTTTGGTGCCTTAACATGTTCGAATCGGCAGTCTGAACCATAGGTGCGTTGGCCAGTTTGGAACTTCACACATACGCCCTTCGGGACTCCAGGAACAGCAGGATTGTTCGATGGAGCCCGGCCACGCCCCGTCGTGTTGCTCGACATAGAGTCCCGCATGTGAACAAGCCTCTTCCGCTCCAGATAATTCCTCGATGCGTCAATCAGCGGTGGAACAGCGCCTCCAGGGTGTTCTCGTTCTGCTCATTGCCCATTCCAGCGCTGACCGTGTCCCATCTCGTCATGAAATTCGTGAGGTGAGGTCCTCGTTGATGAGCTGGACAGAAAGCAAATCCTCGAAATCATAAATAGCACCATGTTTGATGTTCGTGCTGAAGTGCTTGTGAATCATCAATAGAATCTGGCGGCCCCTCGCGTATCGTTTCTCCTTTGCTTCTTGTTCTTTGAAAATGTCGACTTGCGCCAGGTCGCCCTCCAAGATGTTCGTCAATGCCGATGCCAGCTTTGCGTCAAGATGAACAAACATGCCTGAATCACGAAGGACTTCAACGGTCTGGCCAGGGATCCAAGTTGCCTCAATCCACTCAATGCCTGTTCGGGTTGATCAGAAGTAGCAACAACAGCATCCCTAACTTTGATCCTCCAATTACGGTATTGTTCGGGCTTCGGGAAACGGGGGATCTGAATTCTGTCACCCTCCTTTACACGAACGCGTTCCGTTGTTGGATCGCTTGAATTTCCTAAGTGCTTCAGTAGCTTTCGTCGAAACGACTCATCAGACGCTGTAGACGTTGACGATGAGGATGACGAGGGAGAAGATGATGGATCTCGTCGCCTCCGTCGGCTTCGGTCCTTCTTCTTCTTTTTCTTCTTTTTCTTCTTGTCCTTGTCATCTCCACCATCTCCATCATCACCAGGCCAACCGTCTCCGGTAGCAGCATCATCCACGGCCCCGGCGGGAACGGATCCGTCTTTGCCGTAGGGGTCGCTCCCGACCTTCGTCCAACTGTGTGAGGAAGCATTCGAAAGTCCGGGTGGAGATGCGGCCAAAGGAATTGGAGGTACAGCCAATGGAGTCGCTGGCGCTTGCTGAACGGGAGGTGCAGGAGCCGGAGTAGGTTGAGCAGGCTGTTGTTGTTGATTCTGCATCATTTGCTCCACCATTGCCCTCAGCTCCCTGATCTGCTTCTCCTGCTCGCTGATCGTGTTCATGGCGCTGCGATATTTCACCCCGGCTTTTCTTTCAGATATCATGGTGTTTGCACGCTGCTCCGCATTCATCTGGATTTCGCGTCTCATGGCCTCCGATTGGCTTTGAAGTCCAGCAATGATTTCGCCGTCTTACCTCTGCCAATTGGGCGACCATGGGACCAGTGTCCTGATTTACGAACTGGTTGAACTGGGCATTGTGCTGAGTAGCGTTGACTTGCTGATAGTTCGTCACCTCCTGGTTGACCGGTCGAGGTGAACGTTCGCAACATGTTGATTGAATTGTGTCATGGACTGTGGCATAGGGTTTCCCCTTGCAAGGTCGGGATCCAACAGGTGAAGGAGATCGAGCACCAGACCGCCCAGTCCTTCCGCGGGTCGCTCCGGGATCGAAGCGATTCGGGGTCCTGACTGCTCAAAGCTTGTCCCTTCCTGATGAGCTCTCTGGCCACTTGGGAATTCGCTCGACTAGTCGGTTCATATTGCGAGTTGTCATCGCCCGCACGCTCATCAGGTGTGGGACGCACCTCGGTAGGAGGTAGTCCAGGATCGCCATCCATGGCGTACAACTCTGTACAAAGAGCCGCTTACGGCTGATAACCTATAGAACAGATTAAACAACCATGAAGGGTCAACAATGAACCCTGCCCAAAGCGCGCTTTTCTTGAGCCATGCGTAGCGGGTGAGTCGAAGCTACGCCTGTGAGACACTCATGCAACTGCATGGGGTTGTAATGGTTGATAAATACATCACGTTGCAAACTACATACATACATTGCATAAATTGTCGTATTTTACAGCATTTTATCGCGAAAATATGTGTTCCAAAAAGTGATGATTCAAATAGGGGTGCAATTAAAATCTCTGCCGAAATCTAAAAAGTAGCAGGGGCAAGGGCGCAAAAAGCCAAAAAGCCACCAAACGCCACATAAACCAGAAAGCTGAGAAGCCAAGAAGCCAAGAAGCCAAGAAGCCAAGAAGCCAAGAAGCCAAGAAGCCAGGAAGAAAAGCGGAAAAAACAAACAGAAAACGGAGGAGAAACAAAAACTTCACGTCACGTCTGTCACCTGTCACGCGGACTCCATGCAAAAGTGGTGTCACGACAGATGTCACTTCATAGTATGGGCATCGTGTCATGGCGGCTCAAGGGCACTTCATGGGGACTTGGACTCCATGTCACGTCTAGTGAATTCCCCCACATGTCACTTCATCACGCCAACGAGGCTTCCTGTCTGGTGAACTTCATGAAAACGCATTGAAAACGAAGTGGGGACGGGGAGGCATAAGGTTTTGTTGTCACGTCATGGTGAGTTCCTGTCACATGCCATTTCACAGGTGGACAAAAACGCGTGGGGGCTTCATGTCACGTCATGATCACATGTCCCTTCATAGTGACCTCATGCACTTCATAGTGAATTCAATTGACCTCATGTCACTTTGCGATGACTTCATGGGGTCTCTGTAAGTTCCGGTCACATGCTTCATCTTCATGAACGCTTCGTGTCACACCCTGCAAACTTCATGTCACGTTATGGATTCATGGGCACTTCATCTTCACGTCATGGTGAGTTCCTGTCACATGTCATTTCATGGGGGCTTCATGCGGGCTTCAGTCCTTTTTGTGAAGGCTCGCACCTGCCCAGTCCCGCATGCCACACAGTGAAGCGCCGTGCGCCCAGCGGCATCCAGCGGACCGCAGCACCAAGCCGCCGCATCCTCGTCCCGGACCCGAATAAATCCGAATTCATATGGATACTATGGATACCGTATGAAAATGCGTTGGGATGAATCGACTTGTGATCACTTTGAATCTGGTTTTGCCCTTTCTGCATTTGCCCGTAATCCTGCACCAAAGGCATGACTCTCAGTACATGCTGCCTTCCCGAAGCGCACGCAAGGCAAAGCCACCGAAGTTTACATCACACAAGCACAAGGCACCAAATCCTACCGAGTCCTACCCTGCTGTCTCCTTGTCTCCCTGAAGCCCAGGTTGCCCGGCTTTCGTGCAACACCTATGACAAGTTGCCTCATCACTCACGCCGCGCAACATCTCCTGCACAAGCCCAATCCTGAATCACCGCAGCGTGCAATGAATGCGAGACCTTTGAAGGCCTGAGGCAGGCGCTTTCCAGCCAGGATTGCATCACGGAACGTGTCCGTTTCATCCTGGACGAACAGGTTGCTGTCCCGCTGCCGGATGCGCCGCATCGCTTGCCCAGAGCCAAACATCAGAAACATCAAACACAGGGCTGACGAGAGCAAAGTGGAGCATCCAACTCACGCCCCATCTTCTTTTCTGCAGCGCACGCGCTGAGCTGCATGTCAAATGGTCTTCGCATGTCAGCATTGATTACATGTCAATGTGCTGGGAAGCACCGCTTGCTTGCCGTGCACATGTTGGTCATGTTTGCTGATGTTGCATTGCGCCGGTTGATTTCGGGGTCGCTTCGCTCCCGCAGCGATTGGTCTCAAAGGCCGAGGAGAAGCTTGCCCTCCAGTCAGGAAATGTTCAGGTCACAAATTGGGAGCAGGCATCGCCCGGCCTTTTGCAGAAACTGAAAGACGGCTGTGGCGACTTCTGACTTTTCGGGGTTCTTGTCAGGATGCCAAGATCGAAGTAGTGATCGCCACTCCTTGTGTGTACATGTCTGCCTCTCTGCCTTGACCCGTAAAAACTAACCAAAGCGTTGCTTGGCTCGCAACTCTCCGCTCTTCGCTCTTCGCTCTGGCTTGCCTTCATGCGCTGCTCTTTTGGCTCCACCTTCTTGAGGTTCTCCAGCTGCTGCAGCACCTAACCGAACCCAGCTGTTACTTGTCAGCCTCGCATCACTTTCAGGGCAGAAATGCCCAACAAAGAAAAACACTGCGTCTGGCTGGGCCGGGAAAGGCTGTCTAAAAGAAACCTGGAAAAACATCCACCCCTTGAACGCCGCACTCGCGCAAACACGCACTGCCCAGGCCTCCCTCTTTGCACTTTCAATCTCTTGCTGCACCTCCGAGCTTGGCGCCTGCAGAAACACGCTTCGCTGGAAAATGTAAAGAATACAAACATCAAATCACTGAACCACATTGAATCTCCGAATGCCAACATCATGTTTCGCCTCCGAATTTGCGCGATGTTCCCTGGCCTCCTTGGATTTGTCTTCACGGCTGCTTGAAGAGACGCTGAGCCTGGAACTGAACGCATGCAAAGGCTTCCGCGGGCAGTCCTGCTCCTGGAGCTGCTTCGGGACTTCCTTCTGGAGCGGCTCCTGTCTTTTCTGCCTGACAAGAACTTCTGTCTGCCTGTCTTTGCCTGCCAAGCCGCGCCAAGCCGCGCCTTTTTTCTTGTCTTTCTTTTTCCGTTTGCGTTCGCTAGAACTGCTCTCGCTGCTTTCCCGCGCAGGGCTTGCTGACGAACCTGCCATAGGAGAAGAAGCTGCTTTCCGCTGCGCGCAAGGTTTCGGCGTCAAACGGCCTCTCTCTCTCTCTCTCTCGTTAAAATCGGACTGTTGCTTTACTACAAGTGCAAGCGCTGTAATGTTGTTAACACAAACAATCCTGTAGTCTGCGCAGCTCCTGCTTTGCATGGGCTCTGGATGTTGCAAAACTCAAGGCCTGCGGTCATGTACAAGCAAGGTAGTACAACACCGCATGTACATTGACAGGGTCCCTCAGTTAAAAGATCTTGTGGTATCTTTTCAACTGAAGTGGAAGTGGCAATATGGACAGTAGTGATGAAAACAAATGTTGTTCATCCATCGTTAGCGCTCGCTGTTCAGGCTTCAGTCCCTGATGTAGTCGGACTGAACGGAGGTCGTGAGCCCCATACGAAACATGACTCCGGAAGAAGTAATGCAACCAACTAAAGCACAAAAGGCCTCAAAGGACACTACAGTCAGATCAACTGAAGAAGCACCACAACCACTACGACAAAGGGTTAACGCAGTAACACTGTCCAACGGAACATCCACCACCTCCTACACAAACGGCGGCACCTCAGAAGACCAACCCATAATCTTCGACAACGAAGGTTATGGAAACACAACTACTGGAAGGAATGAAGCACGAACCAAATCAAATGCAACTACACGAAGTCTACGACGAAGTAGATGGTGACAACGTCATCAAAGAAGCAATCCCTACAAGGTGGGTCCACAGAAAGAAAGGACCAAGCGTGCGAAATCGTCGCAAAAGGCTACACTGAGAAGATCGAGGACGAAGACTCCGTCTACGCTTCTACACAGATGTTCACGACGCTGCGGACACTACTTGCGCTACAGATGTCACGACAGGATGGCGCGGCTAGGCGACGTCTCTACAGCATTGCTATATGCACCCAACGCAAAAGACCACGGCGGCAAACAACGCGACGTCAACCTCTGGGCCACCTAAAGAACTTTGTCCACTACAGAACAAACTATGGCGGCTAAAGAAAGCCATGTATGGACTACGCAGCGCAACTAAAGCATGGCAGGACTACCTGGCTGAAGTACTACAAAAGCTTAGCTTTGTAAGACTAAACTCAAAACCTACATCATGGTCTACGTGGACGACCTGTTGGCACTTGGTGACAAGACTACTGTCAACTCCATCTTCGAGGCAATCCAGAAGCAGGTGCTACTCAAGCGCATTGGCTACCTCGAACCTGGCATGCCACAACAGTTCCGGCACTTCGGCAACTACTGCACTTTTGGACACTACAAATTCACCATAGAACCAACAACAAAACTAAGAGCAAACACAAACAACATCCTGATCATCGACGTTCATGTCGATGCTGACTGGGCAGGATGCCCTACTTGCAGGAAATCAACTTCAGGTTTCAGCATCACCTGTCCTGGAACAACCGTTGCAATTGGCAGCAGAACACAAGCTACAATAGCACTCAGTTCAGCAGAATCTGAGCTCCCTCAAATTCCTCTACACACAAGACCTCATCAAACACGACATCATCAGAACCCTCAAGATCCACACACTTCATCACAACAGAGAACTTGTTTACCAAATACATCAGCAAGGAAACACTACACCGGCTCATTCAGAGCATTGGTACACGCATATAGCACTACGAACGGACGTCGCGGCTGTTTCACAACAACAACGACTTCAACGTTTTGTGTGTAGCAGGTACATGTAACATGTCACATGTGGTATGTAAGTAGCAGTAACTACATGTATTGCCACCTGCACTTTTTGCGGCATGCTTGGCGGCTTTAGTCATCACTACATCTTTGTTTGTTTGCATGTCTGCCCAAATCCTGTTAGCAACTACAGGCGCATCTGCACTTGTCTTTTAGACTACAGCCATGGATCGCTTTGCGACTACAATCCCTGAGGATGAGGCGGCGATGTCAACTACACCGGAGACGACTACACCGGCTCAACTACCAGTGCACAACTTTGCACAGCTACAGGCGCGTTTTGACCAACGACTACAGACCACTGCAACCCCATTGCAACTCAATGCCAGCCTGCAGGACATCTGCAATCTACAACTCGAGCGACTTCAACCTCCACATCAACCAGACCATCCTACTTCGAGCAACGCCTGCTCTACCAGTACACCAAGTTCTACATTCCACTGACAGTTGAGAACTACTGTTTTAATTGCTTTTCTGACGATTGGAGTTGCGTGTCAGTTTGCAAATGACCGGTTGTAGGTGTTCCGTCGTGGCGCCCAAGGTGTGCCGAAAACCTTGTTTAGCAGCGCTGCAAGGTCGGAAACTGAAGTCTGGTTGTAGTCTCCGTACTGTTCTTGCTTTCAGTACGCCTTGTTCTGTTGCGACGTAGTTTTCTCCGGTTTCGGACAATATTCCGAGCCAACTGCATTTCTGCATCTGTAGGTCTGCTTTTGGAAGTTTCTTGTGTTGGCGGAAAGTAAAGTAGTGTTTCGCAGCCGTCGGGGTGGATGACGTAGCGATTTACCGCCCATGCTCCAGTACTATCCAAGGTAGTAAACAGTGCTTACATTGTCATGCTGTACTTGCTTTCAACTTGTGCTTTGACAACACGCGTTTGTCCAAGAAGTGCTCTGTGTAGTCGCTCAACGCTTCCTTGACTGTTGCTGCTGCAGGAAGGTGCATGTCGCACAGTCATTGAGCCAACTTTTGCTTTTAGAAGTGCGTCGGGTGTGTCTTCGTTGTCGCTTTGTAGTAAGCCTTGCGTTCTTCCGCACACAAAGATGAATGCTTGTAGGTTGTTGACCATGTAGTCCATCATGGTTTGTCCGGAACCATTGCCGCAATTCACAGTTGTGTAGTAAGATCAACTGCCGTTAAGACTGGTATGGTCTTTGGGTCTTGTTGTGATTTGATGTAGGCAAAGCCTACTTGGATGATGGGTTGTCATTATTGTTGCGTCTTGTAGTTGTCTTGGCGTCAATTTCTGTATGGTAGGTGTGTCGGGTTGTGTACTGACAAATGTGATGTGGAGTTGGTTGTTGCGGTTGTCGTAGCTCGTTCTCTCTGTGTGCCTCGTGGTGTTCTTGTGGTTGCTCCTCGCCGTAGTTCTCGTGGAGGTGTTCGTGGTCTTTCTTTACTGTGAACCTTGTTGCGCCTTGCCATTGGCATGGTAGTTTGCCGATGACTGTCCACTCATCTTTGCGTTGCTCCAAAGTTGTTGTTGGTGCTTGTAGTTCTGTGAGGCTCAAGTGTGTTGATTGGTGGATGTCCTGGTCCATCCGGAGTGAACAATGTAGTTCTAAGTGATCTGTGGTGTCTTATCCAGTGTTCACCCTGTCTTTCCCATGTAGTCTTGGTTGCTTCTTGTGCTGCGAGTGCGCTTGCCTTTGGTTGTGTGGCATCAATGTTTGTGGAGGGTGCTCCCTTGGGTCTCCATATCTTGCCACCATCGAGTTTCCAGTAGTCAGTATGTCCACCAAGGATTTGTCGCGTTAGTGGTGCGATTTGTTTTGCTTTCTCTGTAGGTTGAATCACAGTTTCCATTGTCTGTAGTCATTGGGTAGATGCCGTGCCCTGTAGGGATGTCGACCTTTTCTGCTGTCAGGTAGGGTCTGACAAGGTGCGCTTGTTGTTGTCCGTGTGTGATGGTGCAGTGTCGTGGGTTGAAGTCAAGTCCGCGTCCTCTATCAAGTCGTCTTGATGCACTGAGGATAGGATACTTCACATCACAAACGTAGTAGGACATCATGATTGTGAAGTTGTCCTGCTTGTAGGGAACATGCTTGACGCCGTAGACAGGGACCTTCTTGTTGGTAACCGGTAGAGTTGCAGAACTGCTTCTCCAAACAAAGGCAAAGGCAAGTACAGGAGCAAAGGATACTACAAAGGATTTGACAAAGGCAACAAAGGAAACTACAACAAAGGAGGATACAACAAAAGCAAAGGCAAAGGCTACTCAGGGTCCAAAGCCTATGGATCAGGCAAAGGCTACAAAGGCCAAGGAAACTACAGCAAATCAAAAGGAAAAGGAAGCAACAACCTGGCCATTGGGCTGTGTGGCACATAGGAGAAGGAGAAGAACTACATCCGCCAGACGAAGAACAAGCAGATCAGGACAACAATGAACGAAACTTGGGACGGGCACAACGAGGGAGAAGAAGGACATGGACACGATGTGAACTACATCGATGAGAGTTGGAATGACTACGACAACCACAACAACTGGGATTGGAATGACAACAGCTATGAAGATGCAGCAAACTACATTCGAGGCATCAACGAGCCCACATCAGACAAGCAAAGTCACCATCGCACGAGCACAAACCCAAATCGTCTCACACAACATCATGGAACAACCACAGCAAAAGCTGTCAACAATTCCTACAAGAGGACACAACACAACTGCACTTCGACATAGCAGCAGCAACACAAAAGCAAAGACAAGAGAAGACTGATGACAACATCACACACTACATCATGCACTCCAACTTCAATTCATACCACCACCTGCTGATCGACTCACGAGCATCTACACAAGTTTGCCCAAAGGACTACGCACCGGATCTACCACTACAGCCCTGTCCTTTGTAGCGACTTTTGTCTTTTCCTTTGCCTTTGCAGTTTCTTCCTTTTCTCCACATGTTGCCAACGTCCATTGGTGCAGGTCCTCCATTGTAGTTTTTGCCTACAGCTGAAGTCGATCTTGAGAAAGCAGAAATCCTCTTGTACTAGTCCAGGATGACTGCTCTGACCTCGTTGTAGTTCGTGACTGTCCAGCTCGTAGTTGGAGATGTTGTTGCAGCGCTCCTTTGGTCTTGTTGAGAAGTATCGCAATCTTTACTCCATCTGGTAGTGCTGCGCCGTTGTCTTTCTCGTAGCGGTTGGTGTCGTATTCCCATTGTAGGATTTGCTGTCCGAACTGTGCTTCATTTTCATTGAATGTAGGTTCCAGTAGTTGGGTGATGTAGCCAACGCATCGTGTTCCTACTGGTAGTCTGAACCTGTTGCGCAAGAGTCG